AAGCATAGGGATAACTATTCGAATCAAATACAATCCAGTAGCATTCTGCAAAGGATGAACAAATATATATACAAATATAGATTGACCAATTTTCGGAGGAATATTATGCATTGATAAAATATCCTCAATCCAAACGACGGAAACCAAATCATCAGCGGATATATTCTTAAATAAAGCTGACAGTGACTCCGAAGGCGCTTCAGGTTTTGGCAAGTGAATCACATATGGAATATTAAATATTACTTCGGTTGTTCTATCTGCAAAATACGGTGTCGTTTCGCAAAATGATGAATTTAACTTTGCTTTGTAACCTGGGTGTGAATCTAATAATACCTGAGTAAATTATTAAATAATTAGCTATTAAACAATCATAAATAAGAATAAATAAATATTTTTTTTAATGCGAGAACAAAACTCACAGGCCATCCTAAACTATTCAGGAATTTTTCAAAGTCCTCGCTAATTGAAGGAGGATTTATGATGGATTCGTAATCCTCAATCCCAGACTTTACAAAATAGACCGAAGTACTCAAACAATCTCGTCTATATTATGATAAGCGATTGATATTTATAAAAAGCACAACTAAAATTAGGTTGTGACGTAAAAGAATCAAAAGAAAAATAATTATTTTTTAATATACACTACTCATTCAATGTATCCAATTTTTCAAGGTCTTTAATAAGTCTTCCTGATATTTGCAACGGTATCACCTTGTGGCGATTTTCCAAGGAAAGTAATCCCATTTGTGACATTAGCAATCGAAATACCTGCGCACTTAATTTTATTGAAGAGTAATATTGTGTTTATATAAAAATTAGTGCTATTTTTCAAAATCAACTTATGTATGAGTACCTTTCTAGGTTAGTCTGAGACCCTGCAAAAGCAACTTTATTTCTATTAAAGGAATTGTTTAACGAAGTTAGTGGGTTTTAAAAAACCAATAATATAATGAAATATTATCTCACTTTGGCTGACCCAATTTCATATTCCTTTTCTCCGTCGAATATTTTTCTTCAATCTCTTTTTGCCTTTGAGTCAATTTTCTAACGGAATTATAAGCCCTCCAACTATCACTCCCTTCTTCAAATATGCTGTCCACTTTCGGTATTTGGTTGTCATTAAAACCAATTACCTGTGAAATGAAATTACGATCCCTAAAATTTTGTTCGAGAATTGGTTGTGGCGTTTCTGTTCTGAGAATCGGAATCGAAGGAGTGGGAGAAAGTAAGTAAGGCTCGATGGTTTCTTTATCCGTTTCGGGAGATAGTGGTCGAGACTTAAGGTTGTCTTCGAGTGAAGATTTGTAACACATTTGTGAAATCCATGTGTATTTCCCTGTACT